TACCAGGGTCTGAGAAGCCTGTGCAGGAGTATATATATGTATAAGCTACATGTAGAACACCAGGCTGTGAACCATCCTTCTATGGTCTTAGCAGATTAAGGGAGACTTGCTGAACTATCTTTAAGAGAGGTCTCACTTTTCAGAGGGATTTATTCTCTCCCCCTTACCACAAACTATTTCTTAATTTGGACTCCCTTATATCGAAGAATCTGTCTGAACTGACTGAACTGGATAAAACCAGGGATGAGAACATCTGGATCTTAGATTACTGATTACCTGACAAGGTTCTTACTTCCCTTCTAGGAATCATAATACTTAAACTTCAAAGCCCCAGATTACACACTGTCCATGCTCAGGCTTCTCAAAACATTCCTGTTCTAATGTCCGGTCTTACAGCACTACGTCTGACTCCCCTCTGCCTGCAGTATGGACATGAGTTAAACATTTGAGGCAGTAAGAACACTGTAGTAAAGGGCAATGAATGAAAGTTTTGGTTTTGAATTGGAAAAAAATACTGTAGATTTCTGAAATCCTGAAATCAAAGTTAAGACTTTTTTTAATTTTGAAAAAACAAAACAAACACACACACACACACACACTTAAATGTCCCTTATGGCCATAACATGTGAAAGTTGCAGTTCCCATCAATATAACGGGCTCACATAGACGGTTAGACGCAGAGGTCTCAGACTCAGGTTCCCACCAAAGGTTTCAGGATGATATATTTTCAAGCCAGTGGCACCGTGTATTTCTCTATATTATGCCTGTATAATGAACAATTGTTCTATAAAATAACACTGCATCACAGAAATACTTTGAAAGCGACAATATTTTATATAAAGCCGGAGATTTGCTGTGTGAGCTTGAACCTGTAACAGTCTTTGTGGCAGTGAAAAACGCACTTTATATGATGTCCACACAGCTGTAAACAAAGTTACTGATGCTTTAGATTTTCTCATGACTTCTTCCACATTAGTTCTCTTTGAATTTGATTTCCACTCAGTTTAATTTCAGTTCCAGATTTGCTCGTTTGAGTTTAGTTTTCAGTTTTAGTGTTTGGACTAAGGAGCTTGGAAAGAAAAGCGTCTGGACTTCTTTAAGTTGCTTGAAGACGTTTCACCTCTCATCTGAGAAGCTTGAGATCCCTTCCCAGACGCCTTAATGCCCACTCACACCCTTTGCCATCTGACCTCAGGAAATCACATGATAGGGTGGGGCTAGGTTTCACAATGAGCTCACCCAAAACCTTGGCTGATTGTGACCTACATCCGTTTTCACACCTTGGCTCATGAGGATCATTAGGGGGTCCTTTTGTCCCTCTCGGGGGGGTTACTCCCACAGGGCTTAAATCTTGGACTCTCCACCATTTGACCCAGGAACTGAACAAGCTTCTTGGATGAGAAGTGAAACGTCTTCAAGCAACTTAAAGAAGTCCAGACGCTTTTCTTTACAAGCTCCTTAGACTACGATGACCTGGATGACTGAGAACCTTCACAGACTTAGTGTTTGGACCAGTTATACTATGAAAGGTTCTTGTCAACAGCTCAATGAGGCATTGCAATCGGATGTGAAGTGCAGTTTTTTATGCAGAAGAGCATATCGGTCATATATGTGCACATTTGACTTGTTTTTAAGGTTATTTCACCACAGCGGTAAATTGACATTGCTCGGCTATAACACAGGAAAAGTAATAAAACTTCAGACTGAATTAAAGAACATAAAGTCATCTGTGTGCCCATCTTCATTAGTTCCTACATGGTGCTTACATTTTCTCCTCTCTTTTTTATTCTTCCCTGTATGATAGGTCACCCGTCTGACTGTGATGCCATCCCTCTGCCTCATTATCTGTTGAATTGTCCCTCTATTCTAGCATTAACCTCAAGAGTAACACATGTATCTGAAGACTCAGGTGGAGGTAGGACTCATCCAGAGTAGAGCTGTTTTATTCCAAACTATTCAACCACATAGGAATCTTTGACAGTGTCGATGTGCAAAGAACACAAGATGTTATTTACACTCTGATCCTAACCTGTCCCTGTGTTGAAGTTACACATTACTGTGTCACATGCATAAATCGACACACTGATCTTTTTTCTTTATGTCATGTAATGATCGGTATTTCAAGGTTAAAAAAAAATGCACACACACGCCATATGTCTTCAGAGAAGTTGAGATCTGATGGTAAATGGCCTGTATTTGTATAGCGCTTTACTAGTCCCTAAGGACCCCAAAGTGCTTTACACATTCAGTCATCCACACATTCACACAGCTACATTGTAGCCACAGCCGCCCTGGGCGCACTGACAGAGGCGATGGCAAGTACTTTGTGTTCTTCTGCACATTGTACAGATCAGCTGTTACACACAGATGTACACGGTGGGACAGTTTGTGGTAATACAGCTGTCTTCAAGATAAATCCTCCGCTCCACCCGAGTCTCAGACCACAGGACCTCATAACAGTCCCTAACGAACTCTATCAGATAAGTTCACCCTTATAGAAAAATATATTGATTCTTCTTCAACCTCCTCTCATTTGTCACACCATTTTCAGAGAGGGACATGTGTAAAACCTGCGTGTTCACTATATTATTTTTGTTATAGCATCACTGGCTTCAACAGACTCCCTCATCAGGTGTGCTCATTTCTGAGCAACTAATCTGTGACACCAGCAGATTTTTGATCCCTAAAGAAGGCTTTACAACACTTTTATAATAACAACCGATACAGATTAAGTTGTCTGTGAATGTTTTAAATACTTTTGCTCTAGCAACTACTCCTCTGCTTACAATATAAACACAATAGTTTATGCCATTTAGATAAAACTACATCCCTATGACATGATTACAAAGGCCCCTAATGCTTGTTGGGTTGACAGAAGCAATCACATAAAGACTCAAATCTGGGACTTTTCTGGAATTTCACATTTCTGTGAAAAAAGAAAGTTTTGGTTAACTAATAAACTTGAATTCAAAATGCCAGAGCACTCAGCTGATGGTCCATTACTGGTGCTGAAGTGTGTATACAGTATGAAGAGGTCTTCTGTACCTAGCTGTGACAGCAGGGCGATGATGGAGCTCGTCAGGGTGGGGCTGGTGCTTGGGTTTCCAGCCAGCTCTACCAGCCCACTCACACACTCGCTGGGCAGAACCTGAGCTGAGGACAGCAGCTGCTCGCACTTTAGGCCTGAAAACTTCTGCAAACACACCGCATGTACGTAAACTACACAGGGATAGGATACACATATCCCTAACAGCATTTAGGGATTTACACAGCAAACCCCTAGTTTGTATATTCTACTCCCAAACCACTGCTTGCCTCACGTGGTGCCTCATAAAGCCACTCAGGTGTGATTCTCCAGTTTGACGGATGTATAAACTGAACAGTTAGCTCACCTCCACCTGTTTTTGTAGCTGCGCTGCGTGCTGCGCTGTCCTGCTGTCTCTGTACTGCTGTATAGCCAGCAGCAGAGACTTCAGACAGGTCGTCACGTCCATCTTGTACAACAAAAACTGCACTGTAAGGAGACTTTGTCAAAGAGAGAGACAAGAGAGAAACTATTTAGTTTACAAGCTTTCAACCAACGTCCGTGTTAAGTCTGCAAGCTAACACTAGCTAGCCAGCTTATCTTTCATTGTAATGACAACAGAAAATAAACTAATCATAGTCAAATCAAAAAAGCCTGAAACTGTGACTCGTTTATTCAAAACATAAGATTAAATTACAATAAATACGATAAATATCAATTCGATAAATAATATACCTGCGGTGCCTTTTCTTTTTTAGAGAAACATCAACAACCGGCAACACATCGACAACTTCCTCCCGCTTCAACTTCGAACGGGAAGGGATCGTACCATGTACGAGAAAGGGGGAGACAATAAATGAAATCAATATTACCGACATTATAATTGATTATTTGGTGCCATATTTACACAACTTTTAAAAATGAAGAGGGGTTTTAAGAGCCATATTGAAACAATGTTTAGTAATTTAACGGTAATGGCTTAAAACAGATTAAGCTGTTGAAAATGCACACCCTTATTACAGGGACGAGACCATGTGAGAATACACGTAACAAGAGGGGGCGGAGCAACAATTACCCGTAGTAGTTCAACAGTGAAAGATGAATGAAATTAAATTATTAAATTTATTTAAATGTAATAAATTTACATTGAAACATGACTTTCAGAAAATTTTATTTTATTGAATTATTTATCAACTGTAATTGATTTTTACACACAAACCAAACAGTTTCTTCCACAGTATACTTTTCACCAAAAAATAGAAACCAAAACAGTGTGTGTGTGTGTGTG